TCCCCGCCCTCTTCCTGCAGATCTGTCCTCATTCCCCCATATGCCATTAACTGCACTTCCAAATCTGAATAAATAGGAGCTCTCCTGTCACAGTGTTTATTTTTTAATACTTGCTCTGCAGTTATCTACATCGGGATATTTTGTGGCTCTGCAGCATTTATTGAGCACTATATTAAACTGGTGTAAACTCAGACAAAATGCCAGGAGAATGATAAACTAGTGACATTTCTGAGTTTCTCAGTAGAAAATGTCTACAAAGGCTGCACTGGGCTGATTGTATTTCAGAAGGCTGATGTTGCATTGCTAACATCTCCAGTATACTAACTCAGCGTGGATTTTGCTACACCCACATTCTTGGCTTTGGTGATCCTTAGGTTTTATTCCAAACTGGCTTCTAAATGTGAACAACAACTTAATATCCTGGAAACAAAAGCAGGAGGCTGCACCAGGCTTTATCTAGTCTTCATTAATGGAGCTGGTCTGGCACAACCCGTGGACTGTCCCTTCATAGTTTCCCCCAGAAGGGATGCACATACATAGACTGGGACTGAGGTTTTTTCATTTTAGCTGTTTGCAAATTAACATATTTAACATTTTTAATACCACTCCATGGCTTGGGGGATCAACATTAGCTTTATGCAAGAGATGCCTCATTGTTGAGTGTCTACTAATTTTTTGTTTAATTTTCTACTGCTCTGCTTTGGAAAACACCAGATCTAGCTTATTGACTTATTAGCAGATGCTTGTGTGGAAGACTCTCTTTGATCTAGGACTTTGGGACTAGGACTTAACCACCAGCTATTCGTATTTAAACAGAATGTTCTACCCCCACTGCCCATTGGTCATATTGTTGTGTATCCTTTAAGATTCAGTCCATTTTCTCTAAAGGCTTCCTGGACTTTCTTTCTCTCTCCATCGGTAAACTTCAAATAGCACTCTGAACACTAGAACATTAGTGTCATTGGATTACTCTCTTTTCTGTAGTTGTAAACCATTAAAGGCAGGGAATCTGTAGCCCTGGTTCTTCTCACACGATAGGGGCTTGGAACATTTCACTGAATAAGAAAATGAATGTGTAAATAAGTTAGTTTTACTTGTATAGTTGATATTTGGGCCATTGAATATTTTTTGGTCTATTGACTTAGGATAATAAATGATCTTGATAAATCATTTCTGTTAGTGGCATACTCATTATATACCAAGACATTTTTAAAACAAATATTAATTCTAATTTCTTAGGTTAGTATTAATATTCCCACATATTTCTTGAAACAAGGAAGGAGGCAGAGAAGGAAATCAGCTGCACTTTTTGTGTCTTTTCAGTGTACCATAAATCTTATAGGTACTTTAAAGTGTGTATTCTAGGAAAACTGAGTTTAGCCTGTTTTATGCTGTGCAAAACATATGCGTAGTTCTAGAAGTCTCAGAAAGGAGACCCACTGTGGCTTAAGGGGCATCCCGACTGGGAAGCCTACTTTCAACTTGAGTCATGTGCAGATGAGCCCCAGTCATCAAAGCTATCAAAGTGGAAGAAGGATGAGAAGGAACTCCGGGTAGAAATACCAGCATGAGCATATGCAAACTCCCCTTCCTCTCCATGAAATCCAGTTCAAGAATAGAATTTGTTTTCCCAATTACACATAAAGGCAATATATGATTAGTGATAAAGGGATACAAGATACAGCCACCTAAAGCCTTTTTCTATAATAAAAAGGATTCTGGACCAATTTTTTATCTTATTTTTATAGAAAGATTCTTTACAAGTTCCAGATTGTATAACCTAGTTTACTGAATATATAGAAAATATTGACCAGTGTTAAAATGTTGTCCATGTATTTATTGAAGAAATATGCTTTTTTATGCTTTGCTAAACACCAATAATCCCATCATAAAAGTCATTCCTTTTGAGAGCTCAGTGTAGGAAGAGAGTTATTTATGCAAATCAAGTAGCAAACCATGATGTACCATGAGAGTAATATATAGGGTGATATCAAAGCAAAAAGCAAGGTGCCCAACCACTTGTGCTAAATACTGGAAGTTAGAATTACAAATATGTTTGGATAGAGATGCTCCTAGGCAATCTTGAAATATTCTGTAAGTAAAACCATCAAAGGTTCATTTTAGATTAAATCCCAAGTTTATGCCCTTTTGCTTTGATGATGACATCGTGAAGAACAAACACAATAGTTAATCTTAAAACACACAGACAACTACGAAAGTCCGTAGTCCCAACTAAAACATAGCTGTGTATGTGGGCCTTGGTAATCGTATCAGTTGATGAACTGCAGTGATATGATGCTTTAAGGTGTCTACTCAATGATAGGATCATCAAAATCGGCACCCGCATGCCCATTTCACATTGTTTGGCTTTAATTCTCTGGAATTCACCAAGGCCACATAGTAAAAGCAGTGATGAGCCTGTCATCTGTGACTGCTGGAGGTACTTCTTGAACCATTACAGAAAAAAACTCTTGGAAACATTGCAGTTTGATTTAAGTATTCAAACATTATTTTTATAATTGTTTTACTAAAGATGGGGGAATAATACAGTAAAAGTTTGGTTAGCTACATTAGATTTTGGAAAACAAAGGGCTCTATTTTGATTTTTGTATCTTTTACTTTAGTTGATGGGTTGAGGGGATTGTTACCTGAAACAACAACTCCTACCCTTAGAGATAATGCAGAGATCTTGACAAACTCTGTGACTGTTGATCTGGAGATAGGAACACTGGAAAAGATGCATCTAGATTCGGGAAATCATTTTGCTACCCTTTGACATTGACTGTGAGCCAAGCAGAGAGGCTTGCTAAGTGGTCAGTGTGGTGCTTCTGGGATGCCCGGCTTCTCCTGGGATGGAAATGTGGCAGACCTTCCAAGGAAGAAACTCAGAGCAGCAAGCAAGAGGGGCAGATGAGCAACAGGTCACTACCCATTGATATTTAGAAGAAAAACAGTCCAAAACTGAGCTATAGAGTTGAGGGTTGCTGAGCATCATGCTTTTTTTTTTTTTTTTTTTTTTTATGCTCATGGCTTGTGGCCTTGTGAGAAAAGGTCCTCCGTGAATCTGGGCCAGGGTTCAGTGTGGGGAATAGGAGGGCCACTGTCTGTGGACTGGCAATTGCTGCAGCGTTTATCTGAAATCATGGCAAAAGGGCCATCTTCTCCTTATTCAGGCAAATTCCAATGGTGTGAACTATCCAAGCTCATGTCACATGTCTCTTTGTGGGGAATTATTAAGCCTTCCTAGGAAGTGTTTGCTTCATGGGAGAAGAAGAAAACTGAATTCGATGTTTGGAGAGTAGACTCAGAATTTCAGGCTCGGTATCAATTAGAGAAACTCACTGATAATAGGGCCTCAAGGAGACTTTTTGTTTTTCCACTGAAGATGAAGAGGGACTGAGAATATGAATTCCAAAAAGAAGAGTTCTGGGAATGCCCCTAGAACACTGATTACTTCTTATTTCAAAGAATTAACAAGAATTTTACGGTTCCTTTCTCCCTCTGCTTTTCCTTTTCTCTCCTCACTCCTCTCTTGTCCTTCTTTTATTCCTTTTTTATTTAATCTTTCCTTGGCTCCTTCCTTCTATCATTCCACGTTGGACTATCACATGTCAAAGCCTATGGATATAAAGTATTTACAACAAATCTCCTTGGTAGCTCTATTTAGGGGGGAGTGTGTGTGTGTGTGTGCGCGCGCGCACGTTTCTGTGCATGTGCATAAGCAGTTGCTTTTACATTTGGAAAAATACACAAAAATAATTATTTATAATAAACTGTGATAAGTATCTTACAGGGAGTTGTAGCTCAGCACTAGAGTGCTTGCCTCACACATGTGAGGCACTGGGTTCAATTCTCAGCACTGCATATAAATAAATAAATAAAATAAAGGTCCACCAACAACTAAAAATATATAGATTTTAAAAAATAAATATGTGTTGATAGGAGGAAGTGCTTTTCCTGTTGTACCTGGGACATATTTGTATAAGTGACTTTCCCATCATGTTCAGGGGTCCTTTCATGGAGTGGCATATTCTTTGAGTATGGTAGATGAGGCAGCAAAAGTGACATGGGGTCTGTCATTTAGGGTTTTGGGTACCACAGGACATCCTAAAGGGGATGTGTACTTTCAAGATGTGTCTTTTCTAGTATGAATTGAATGGCTGTGCTGAGTGGCAGAGGGCAGGCAGGGGGACCATTTGAAGACATTTGACTATTTTTCATGTAGAAAAGGAATGAACTGAAGTTCTGCAAATTCTGATTTTTTTTAAAGTACACATAGCCCCAACTTTAATTAATCTTGCTGTATAAAAATTCTAGAGATAGAGTATGACTCCTATATCATTTATGTAATGGAATTTAGGATGACTCACTATAAGATTATACCAAATAATAATTGCCTCCAAGGCATTTTAGGCTTTTATTTTACTTACACATGTGGCTTCTGGCACAGATCTGAGAGTGAAACGCATCTGCACATTTTGGTCACACTGGTTCAACAATGCAGGGAATGGTCACTCTGCTGTAGTTGCCATTTCTTTGGTTGGGTCATGTGATTTGTTCATAGTTCATATGGCAGTAGTAGGTATATCTGCAAATTTCAAATAAAAAAATTAATTAGATGAGTTTGCTATGTAAATCACGGTTCAAGTCACCCAGCTAAAGCAACATGCCTGGCATCTACCTCATAAGTCTTGAAAGTTCAATTTGCTGCCAGCAGGGTCACTGTGGGAGTACACGCTAACCATTTGTGGGGATTATTTTCAAGTCCGAGCTAACAACACCCAGTATCCTTGCCTAAGTTCAGCTTGGCCTTCATCAAACAAAGGTTTATTATCATTTTTATTTGAAGTGGAAATTTTCCTGTCAGACTATATACATAAATAGAATAGGCACAGCCGAGGATTGGGGAGCCTGTGGATATCGATAGACTGTGGGATGCACCGAGGCACATGGGAAGTTGTTAATGCAGATGCGTCTTTTTATGCTTCTCCATGTTTTAGGTCTGTGATGGGGTCGAACAAGGAACCAGACCTGGTGCATCTCGAGGCCAGAACTGTGGATGGTCGTAAGTAAATGAACTTTGTCCCAAAGTCCGTAGTCATGTTAGCTCTGTCATGAACTAATCTGTCACGAACCAAGTCTGTGTAATCACTGTCACAGTAATACAAGTCATTTGGAGTTATGGACTGTTCCTGTCATCAGTAAATCAAGATTGTCTCAATAGTCTTAAATCTGTATATTAATATACATGTTTAAAATAGATATATTAATACTTATGTATATATAAATACATATTATCCAGATTTAATTATACTTGGATAGTGGCATTACTAGCACCACCCTTGCATCCAATCGAGGTATCTTTCAAGGTAAAGAGAAGATTCCAAAACTGAGTTCCAAAGTATTTAGTGGTCTTGCTGCTGCAGTTTTATTTTTATTTTTTGGCTCATTATTTTGTGAAATACCATCCAGGCAATGACTCCCTGAATTGTTTAGAGCTTCATGAAACACCTGGAAAAATAAGAAGAAAGAATCATGCTCTGTGTCCCCATCATGAGCAGCAGAGGGGAAGTCACCTGAGTCAGTCACTCACCCTCTGGTTCTTCTTCTCAACCCTAGGCATTTGTGCCACAGTGAAGGGCTACACTTTGTGGAGGTTGTGGCTTTAGATACATGGTATAGAGGGAGGTGGGTTGCAGATCCACAATTCAAACCCACGTGTGAATGTCTCCAAGATCAGCTTGGAACAATTCAGTTAAACCTTTATACCTTGGTTTCTTTGTCAGTTAAATCCACTGATAATAATGATTCTTTTAGTAGCTAACATTGATTTAGAAATTGTCCTCTACCAGGAATTATGCTAAGCACATCATGTACTTTATCAAGACAACTTTATAGGTTGCTATTCCCAAAGCCTAGGAAACTAAGTTAATGATTTAGCTAAGGCATATGGTAAATTCATAGCGGACAGTAGTGTCTATTTCACACTCACTATTCAGTGAGATTATAGAAACCAAAGCATACGAAGGAGTGCACACAGTGGTCAGCACTGAGCCAGAGTGCTGATGGACTTTCCAAGACATTCTCTGTTTCTAAACTGTTCCTCACAGTTCTCAAGAATGCTCATTACTTCTGGTTGCCTCATTACTTCTATATAGCTGTCTTTGGTTCTCCTGAACACAGAGGCAGAGGAAACCTACACTTGAAGAGCTTTGAGAAAAAAAAAAAGGGCAGGTCACCTGTGCAACTCAACTCCCCAGGAGCCATACAACCTCTAAGACCCCCATTTGAGATTTTTCATTTCTAGAGGTTTTTGTTTCCCCTTTGGAGACATGAATACATTACTTGGCACAGTTAGTTGGAGTGCAGAACAGGGTCTGAGACTGACTATGACCTTCTTCCTATGCACCCAGGCAGGCCTGTGCTTTGTAATGAGCTCAGCAGTTCAGAGCGTCTTCCCATCTCTGCAGTGGACTCTCTCAGGGACTGACCCTGGAGCACATGATACTATCTTGGATTCCAAGGTCCAGATATAAACACAAGATGAAGATCAATATTTTCTGATGTGAAAGTAAAGGCATAAACAGTTTAAAGCTCTCTATTAAATTCCCATTGCTCTGATGATTAGGAGCAAAGTCCTAACTAACCTGGTGCTGGCCCCTTTCCCCAACCTAATTTCTGTTCTGCCTTTCCCTCCCTCCTGGCCTGAACGACTTTGGGCTTGACTTCAGTTCTGGATGCATAGGGGGTTCTGTCCTTGCCACAGGGCTCTCGTTCTTGACATTTCCTCTGTCTGGAAACCTTCTTCCATTGCCTCTGCCCTACCAAGTAAATGTAATGAATCACTGTAGATGGGTTACCCTCAGGTTAAGCACCTGTGTATTAGGGAAGACTTTCTTAAACTCCCATTCTAAACCAATTCCTTCTTTTGTTTGCTTTTGTCCAAAATGTATTCTTTTTTTTTTTGGTTTTATTTCTGATTGAAATAGTATATTTCATTGATGTGATTATTCGGTCATAACTTTTACTCCCCACTGGTCTATGAGTCCCATGAAAGCAGGGCACCTATACCTTTGTTCAGTTTTTTTTTTTTCTACAGCACACACCACAGTGTTTCCATGTAGCTCACCAACTTCATGCTGAAAGAATGGATGAATAGTTGATCAGTTGTCAGTTTTACCACCTAGCTAACTCAGGTTGCCTGAAAATTTTGGAGCACTGTCTCTCAAACTTTACCAAGCATACAACCCATCTAGGGATCTTGTTAGGATGTGAATTCTGATTCAGTAGGGGCCCAAGATTCTGCATTCCTAACAGGCTCCCTGATGATCCCATGCTTCTGATCTGTGGAACCTGCTTTGAGGAGCAAAGTTCCATACCAGGAAACTAATGAAAGAGCTTTAGGGTCTGTCTCCCATGACTGCACCCTTGTTTAGAAGACTCTGGATGGAATTGGTAGCATCCCTGATTGCTTTTATTTTCAGGCTTTAGGGGATAATGCTGCTTTCTGGCTTCTTGCATTGAATGCACATAAACCCATATCCAAAAACAGGTCCTCGGTTCTCTCTGATCTGCACATTTTCTCATACCTAATATTCCTCTGCTCCCTGAAGGCATGGTGGTTGATCACACCAAAATGCCATCTCAGGCTCAGCCTTCCCAAGGCGTGAAATACATCAGTAATAACTTTATTTATTTTATTTTACTTTTTTTTTTTGGTATTTGTGCAAAGGCAGCATCTTCAGAAACTATCCAAGGGTGAAAATTCAATAAAGGGATTTAATTTGAAAAGTTATCCCTGTCAAAACAAAACAGAAAGAAAAAATTACCTACCAATTGAAATAAAGGATCTAAGCATAATACCTGACCTGTCTCAGCATGAAAAAAAAAATGAGATTGTCTTAGTATCATATCTCTTTTTCCTCCTTCAGTCTCTCTCCTCTTCTCCCCTCCCCCTTATCTACTCTCTATCTCCAAGACTGTTATTACCAGGGCTCAAGGTAAAAGAAGCAGAGAGGAAGAGGAGAGAAGGCAGAACACAGAGAGGGCAGAGCAGCAGATGTTGCTATTGCTGGCAGGATTGGAGAGTGAGTTTATCAAAACCAGTCTGGTCCATTTCTCCAAGAAGTCCAGTGGCTCTGTTCTCTCCTCTTATTTCCTGATTGAAACAATTCCTTGTTTTTTCACCTCTTTGTTATTATTTTATACAAAGTTGAAGTATATGGAACCATTGTTTATATTATAGGTGGTACATGTTTTATAATATGTTCTAAAACTATATGTATATATGGGTGTGTATATATGTATGTATGCATATATATATATATATTTTTTTTTTTTAACTTTGAATTTTTAAATTTTAATGTGTTTAAGAATTTTGTAGCTTGATACAGGAAAAATACCTCACTTGCTAGTTTGGCTCATCTCTATAAGATGGGTTGCAAATCCTTATCTGGGTTTGTTATTCAAATTTTAAACATGGTCTCATTTCATATATTCCTGTCTTACAATTGATAATTAATTTGCCAGAGTCCCTGTGTTTGAAAGGAGGTGAGCTCTGAAAAGCTTTTTGCTCCATGAGAGTCTATGACTAGCACCCAGGTTTCTTACCAACTATGATCTGAACTGTGGATGTCTTGTACTTTACATCTGTGACAAGGATGCTTCTCTTTCTTGTGTTAGTCACAGTCTTGGGAGGTAAGCTGAAAAGGGCAAGTTCAATTACTATCAATCAGAGGAAGTATTATAGGAAAACCTTGAACATATTTATCAGGGACATTTTTTTATTGGCTCCCACTTTAAACTGAGGACAAATTGACAAGTCCTCATTCAGGATGCAAAGACTTTTTTTGAACTTTAATATTTCTGTGTGGATGTGGGTATGCGTGTGAGGTTGTGCATGTCATTTGTACCCAGTACAACACTTAAAAAGAAATCCTACATTCTATTGACTTATCCCACATAGCTGTCTTTGTGTATAATGTGTAATATATGTTGTTAGAAAATGTTGACTGAACTGCTAGATTGCAAACTTTATAGAAAGATAGATCTTATTTAATCTTTGTTCAACATATAAAACACAGCTCCAAACTTAAAACATTTAAGGTTTGTTGTATTCATGAAAATATTTGAGTATCACTGTGTAGACATGTCTTCTTTATGTAAATGAAAATTATACTGAGATTTCATCTCACTCTAGTCAGAATGGCAATTATGAAGAATACAAGTAACAATAAATATTGGCAAGGATATGGGGAAAAGCATACACTCATACATTGTTGGTCAGACTGAAAATTGGTACAATCACTTTGGAAAGCAGTATGGAGATTCCTCAAAAATCTCAGAATGGAGCCACCACATAACCTAGTTATCCACCTCCTCAGTATATATCCAAAGGATTTAAAATCAGCATACTACATCGAAGCAGATACATCACTGTTTATAACAGCACAATTCACAATGGCTAAGCTAGGAAGCGAACCTAGGTGCTCTTCAACTGATGAATGGATAAAGAAAATGTTACACAATGGATTATTAGTCAGCTATAAAAAAGAATGACTTTATGACATTTGCCAGTAAATGGATGGAACTGGAGACTATCATGCTAAGAGAAATAAGCCAGTCTCAAAAAGTCAAAGGTCAAATGTTTTCTTTGAATGCAGAAGCTAATTCAAAATAAGGGGGAGGTGATTTAAAAAAAATATATAAGAAAGATCAGTGGAGTAGACAAAGGGGGATGAAGAAAAGGGAGGAGAGACGGGGTAGGGAAAGACAGTGGAATGACTCTGGCCTAAAATTCTTATTTATGCATCATGAACATCCAACAAGACACTAATTAAAATAAAAACTCTAAGTAAATAGCAGAAAGTTCAGTAGAGTAGAGGGAAAGGAACAGGAGGTGGGAGGAAAGGAAGATGAGAGAAGGCGCTGGGGACTGAATTTGAACAAATTATATTTCATGCTTTTATAATTATGTCAAAATGAATCACATATAAATGAAAAGAATCAATAAAATATAAAAGAGATGAGCACATGATGAGCACAGGAAACTTACTGACTCCCTGC